TAGTGATGTGCCGAGTCGAGTCGACTCGAGTTCTGACTCGAGTATTTTAGAAGTACTCACGTACTCGAGTAAGCAAATTATAGTATTCGCATACACAGACTCGAGTACGGGTCTCGAGTACTTATAATTATCAAACACCGAATCAGGTATTTTTGATATATAAATGGCGGTTTAGCGTTAAAAAAAAAATATATATGTATATATATTTACCAAATACACCACACAACTAAATTAATTTTAATATCGTTATAGGTATTAATTGCCAAAGATGAAAGGAATTTTAAATTCCAAAGGAGTAATTTTGTTGTTTATGAATCTAGATCTCATGGAATATTGTCATTATAATTGAAGTACTAGTTGAACTTTTAAGGTACTGAAGATTTATTTATTTTTAACTCATTATTTACTTTGCATATTTTTTTTATGACAGACTACGAAGTTCTAGTTCTACTATGATAAATAAAGCAACTGTTATTGAACCCTATATTTATTTAATTTTAATTATTATTTGTAAGTATGTAAGAATTAGATTTCTATGTTTGGATCTACATAAATCGGATATACTATCTTGGAGTTAATAATAATATCATGTTAAATAAAAAGTCGGCATTTCGGTTGGGTGCATGTTCAGCAGTCGAATCTATAACGTATTCGAATACCGAGCTCTGAACTCGGATACTTGATCCGAGTATCTGACTCGAATCCTGACTCGATTCTTTTTTTAATGAGTACCAAAATACTCGAGTACCAAAAATAGCCGACTCGGCACATCACTAGATGTGACTGTAGGACCGTGTAGGACCCTTCCCAAAACTTAGCGGGATAATATGTATTTGTATATGTACAATTTGAAATTGGAGCAATTGGAGCTAAGTTCTTGTTGTAAGCTTATTATTATTAGGTATTATTGGCATTAAATTTATGTATACAAACTTAAATAGAATATAATTTTCGTAAAAAAAATTACGAGTTTGTGATCCAAAAGTCAGTCTAAATTTTTCCTACAAAACATTTTTATGGCATCTTGTCACCTATTCAGTACACACTGTACATATAAAATTTTCGAGGGATTTGATAACAACAACTTTAATTAAATTTTAAGAACATGTTGGTGTAGTTATGGTTCCCTTTAAAACACTTTAGTCGTTATTTTACGGTGAAATATTATATGACTTTACGACATTATGACGCTAATGGCGCCCTGTGAGTTCGTTATCTACTAGGGCTGATGATACCCGGTTACCCGGGTATTACCCGGGTGCCCGGGTAATTCGGGTAATGCCCGGGTACCCGGGTATTACCCGGGGCTTTTATTACCCGGGTAGTCGGGTATTACCCGATTTGCCCGGGTACCCGTGTAATATACATATGTTGGTGCCGGTTAAACGAAAAACACCCGGGTAATGCGACATAAAGCTTCTTGTATAATCTTTTTGGTGAGGATAAATATTTCTTCAGTGAGAAAATTTTTTTTTATAATTATTTTTTTATGTCTAGAGT